AGAGGAAAAAAGGTTTTAAAAAGAAAGTAAACAACAGAACAGAACCTTAGTGATCTGTGGAACAACATGACAAGGTTTAACATGTGTATTTGGGATCCTAGGAGAGAAGACAGAGAAGGGGAAGAAAAACTACTTAAAGAAAAAGTAACTGACATTTTCAAAATTTGGAGATAGATGCAATTTACAGATTCAAGAAGTTCTGTGAAGCCCAAGGACGATAAATACAAAGAAAGGTCACATGTGGTTGCATCGTAGTCAGAATACTGAAAACAAAGGCTAAAGAGAAAATGTTGAAAGCAGTCAGAATTAGCCGAAGCACTATGTTTTGGAGAACACTAACAAGAACTCAAATGAGTTCTCATCAGAAACAATGGGCATCAGGAGTCAGTGGGACAACATTTTTGAAGTGTTGAACAAGAACAAAAAACAGGTTTCAACTCAGAACTCTGTATCTCTGGGGAAAAGATTCTTTAAATATGAAGGTGAAATAAGGACCTTTTCAGATAAATGAAAGCCAAGAGAATTCATCAGTAGACCTGTGATAACAGAAATGATAAAGGAGATCTTTCAATCTAAAGAAACACGATAGTAGAAGGAAAATTTGATTTTTGGGTAGAGATGAATAACACCAGAAATGGTAAGCATGTAGGCAAACATTAAAGAATACTTATTTGCTCTTAATTTTTTTTATAATACATTTGACTATTTAAAGTAAAAATTATAATAGTATATCGTAGGGTTTATAATATATGTAGATGTAATACGTATGGCAACTACAGCATAAAGGATGAGGTAGAGGGCGAATGAATCTATCTGGTGGAAATCTTCTTACATTTATGTAAAGTAGTACAGTATTAACCACAAGTAGACAAGCGTACAGTTAAGGATATATATTATAGTCTCTAGAGCAACCACAATGAATCAGTGCAAAATGATAATTGCTCAAAAAAGCAATAGACAAGGGGCGCCTGGGTGGCTCAGTCGGTTAAGCATCTGCCTTCAGTTCAGGTCATGATCCCGAAGTCCTGGGATCAAGCTCCACGTTGCGTTCCCTGCTCAGCGGGGGGCCTGCATTTCCCTTTCCCTCTGCCACTCTCTCTCTCTGTCAGATTAATAAATGAAATCTTAAAAAAATCAATAGACAAGTTAAAATGGGATTTAAAATAATTGATTATCTCAGGCAGGAAAAGGGGAACGTAGGAACAAAAATAGATAAACAGTGCTACAGACTGAAAGTGTGTGTCCTTCCCAAAATTCACATGTTGGATCCTCATGCCCAGTGCATTAGGAGGTGGAGACTTTAGGAGGATATTAGGTCATGGGGAGGAGTCTTTGAATGGGATTAGTGCCCTTAAAAGGGAGACTCCAGAGAGGTTCCTCACCCCTTCTGCCATGTGAGGACATGGTGAGAAGACGGCTGTTAACTGGGAAGTGGGCTCTCACCAGATATAAAACAGGCCAGCACCTTAATCTTGGACTTCCTAGCCTCCAGAACTGTGAGAAACAAGTATTTGTCATTTCTAAGCACCCTAGTCTATGGTATTTTGTTACAGCAGCCTGATGAGCCCA